AGTAATTTATCTTGCAGCAAATTTTATATATCATATATCATATAAAATATTAATATTTTCTTACAGAAAGTTGCAGATAAGTGTTTGTATTTATTGATTATATATCATACGATGCTAATAACAAGACACCTATTTTTAGAAATGTGAAGTTTCTCATTATAAAAATATCTTCCCTTTGGTCCAGAGCTATTTTGTGTTTAGGAGATTATTAGTATTCATGAGCTACCTCATTGCAAAAGAGTGCCACAGGGGCTATGAGTTAGAATGTGGTGCTGCATTCGGCAGGAGAGAGGGGAAGCACAGGAGCTTGTGCTGGTGGGGGCCGGGGATTCAGCTGGAAGATTCAAGTTGCTGCAACTGCCTGAAAAGAACTCACAGCATCATCTTCACAGCAAGGAATACAGGGCATCATTTATTTACTCATGGCTTGCATTATTGGGAAAATGGGTGGAGTAAAAATGAGGGCTCACGAAAATAAACATCTAAAATATTCTTTTATACATCATCAGTAATTCAAAGAGAATGAAGGAAATGCTGTAATTTTAGCAATGGCTAATCATTTCAGGTTTTTTTTGTGAAAGGATATACTTCCAGAGATTACATAGGTGAGTTTATGGACAAGTATTTTTTTTTAGATTTCTTACCACTGTCTTACTAACTTTCTTTTTCAGGTGGAATGTGCAAGTATTTTATGTAATTACTGAGAGATACTGAGTATATATCTATATACCAGTTTTCTCAAATCAAATTATTTGTATGCTTTTATGGATCTTGAATACATATGTAGTTGTTATCTGTGTATAGAAAGACATATAATGATTTAATACTGGTACTTGGCTTGATTTCAGTTCTATATAATTGCGTGTGCTGTACTTTAATATAAGCAAATATAATCCACAATGCTCTTGTAGCATGCTCATCTTAAAAAATTGGCTCAGGGTTAATTCTATGCTATCTTGTAACTCATACTACTCTTTGATTAAGTTTTTTGTGTTAAAAGCTCATTCTTCATTACCACAGATACAACTTTCAGGTAGGGGCAGCTTTCAAAACTGAATATGTTGCTTTCTTTCAGAACTCTGATTGTTGACATGTGAATACAGTCTAGATGTCTTGTGTAGTTCAGGTACAATTTTAGATGGGATTTGTCTCAACTGCATAAATTTTGGCAGGAAATAGAAGCATTTTTCTCTTGGTGGAGGGAGAAGTATCTTCCCTGCTGATGCAGGAACCTGAGGATAATGTCTGATCCCAGTCCTGGGGAGGCTTCTCTGCTCTTTCTGGGGTTGAGGGAAATTTTCTTTACAAGTTAAATTAAAAAATTTTTTAAGAAGTTAAAAATCTAATTACTCTTTTTCTATGCTGAAGAACTGTGAAGTAATACATAGGCCCATGTAGGTTGTCTATAACCATTCTTAATATGCACAACAATTATGTTGTTATGGCTGTAAATGGAAATACTTAGAAATAACAGAAGACTTTGGCCAAACCATTCATCAGAAGAATTGCTAAAGATCATAAAATAATTGTAAATAAAAATTTAGTGAATTAATTAGTTTATGATTAAAGGGACTATACTGATAAATATGTTACACTTCATTATACTTCTACAGAAAACAGTATTCATTTATTGTGTTATGATAACTAGGTTTAAATATAATTTAATAATTTACCAATTTTAGCCACAAGCCTGCAAAAATTTGCATCTGCATTTAAACAAATGTGTTGTTAATCTGTTAATCCCAGAAAGTCTGGAAAACAAATAAAAATTGAGGTATTATCAAAATAGCTAAATGCAAAGGGATATATTTATACAGGTCCTTTTCTTGTCTGTGCTTCATAAATTAAACTCTAACTGTAGTGAATGAAGCAAGAGTGTGAGCTAAGAGCTTTTTCTTCAAGTGATAATCAATAATGTAATGGTAAAACATTGTGTTCTAATGGTAATCAATTAGATGTTAAAAGAATGCTGAATTTTAAATGCCCACTCTTTTGAGACTGTTTCAGTTAATGAACAATAATAAATTAGCACAGGGATTAGATGAACACAAACAAAATTTAATCTCTTTGCCTCATAATGACAAGAGGAAGTATTGGACAGATGTAGGATCCTTGGTCTTATCCCATTATGCCCATTTCTAGAAAAATAATGGCTATTTTGTACTAGTATACTAGGACATATTTCCTAGGATAGTAGGACTTCATATTTGAAAGGTAAAAAGAGGTATAAAACTTATTTAAATTCTAAATTTCTCTGTTTTGTTGGTTTTTTTTTTAAGATAAATCTTCTAGTTCCCTCTACCTATTGCAAAGAATCAAAAATTAAATTTATATGAGTCTTCAAAAAAAGCAATTTTCTCTATTATTCAGAAGCTTTCTGTGTTCCCTGAAATAGTGCATTCATAGATCAAAAATAGTTTTTTTCCAAAAGTTACAATACTTTTCTTGTTTCTCAGCTGGTGGACATCGCTGCCTCCTAAATACATATTAAATGAAGTGAGATTAGAGCATTACAGGTAAATTGTAAAAAAAAAAAAAAAAATTAGTGAAGGCTGGCATAAAAAACATTATGATTTTAGTATTTATTATATTCAGAAACACCTGAAATTCAGTAGAGCAAATTCAATAATATGATAAATAATTCTTTATTTGCATGGCAGATTTTACAGTTCATTGAATCTTAGTGCTGGAAATTATAGGTTTATAGATTAGCATGTCAGCAAAGCACGTGTTAATATAGTTCAAATGACAACAGATGCTCTCAAAAGAGGTATTTTCAGTTCATTTCCCCTCTCTTACTGACATATTGATGCATAAACTCAGGAATTAACAGAATTGATGACTCCAAGGCTCAAAAATGGGAATAAAATGACTACAGAAAGCTTTGTGGAGTGGCCATTGTTGGCAATACATAGACAGTCACTGAAATCCAATTCCAAGTGTTGGAAAGAATTTATCCATATGGAAAGGAGTTGTCCATGTCTAATCACAATAGGAAGTAGAATCCCTCAAAGTGAGGCCTGTGTGACTCTGTCCTCTCCTTGAAACAGTGAAGTGTGTCTTGCTCCGGAGGAGACACAGTGATGCCTTCTATCACCCTGGAGGCCTTTTCTTTGATACTTGTGTATATATGTGTGTGGAAGATGGTATTTTTAAAAAGCTTTTCTTTTCCAATCTAAAATTCTTCCTAGAATGATTGAATATGTTTATGTGTGTGCTCTCTTGTATGTGAGAGAGTGTGTGGTGGGGAAAATGGTGATAAAACTCAAAGGAATGTTTATGGAAACTTTAAAATACATATGTCTTATATTTTTGCCTTGCAAACCCAAAAGCCAGTCTATAAAGTTTCTCTGGGACAGGAGGGAACACGACAGAATCTATTTTAAGCTCAGTGTACCCCAGGTAGTCCACTAAAATGTGTTCTTGAACACTTTGGTGCATCAAGCAGCTTGTTCTGTTTGATGGAACAGGTGTTTTTTTACCTGAGCTTAACAGGAGCAGATTCTAAGTGCTGAAGATAGTTTAAGGCCTATGCAGAGATTGATAGTGATTTTTATATTAAGTGTTGTCTAGTCAAAGAATTTGCTTTTCCAACTTTATTTTCAAAGAATAATGTCTATTTTTATGTGCTCTTACCTATGGCCACACATTAGTAACTCTTGGTAACTGCCAGTAAAACAGGGCTACACTGTTTTAATTATAGTTTAGGGATACAATTTTTTATACTTTCCTGGCTCTGTCTTGGGACAGGGCCAAATCAAACTCCAGCAGGACTCGGGTTCATAGAAGTTACAGTATTTAAGCTTTTCTCCCATTGACCCCATCATTTTTCCCTGGCCTGATTTCCTATCTGTCTGAAACTTGACATGATTTAAAAAAGCCTCTAACCTCACTCTTTCTAATTTTGACTGGGGGAGAGGCAGTGAGGGGTGGATGGGAATGGGGGACAGGAGCAGGCCATTGCATCTGCTGTGGAGGGAACTTGTTGGGAAAGAGTGCAAGACCATTGGTTAAGAAATAAATTTTACTTCAAAATACTGAAAAATTAAAAAAATAATCCTAAAATAGCATGTTACCTGTAGGTCTACTAATCAGCAATACAAGGTTAAGGAATTTCCTACATGCTTGGCTGATTTAACGACTGCATCTGAAGTGAGTCCAGCTGCAACTTAAATTTCTGCATCTCTACAGAGTGACAACTAACTTTATATTGCCTTTAGAGCTGGGGCTTTTCTTGGTCACAGCGGACTTAGGATTGGGTATTAGTATGTCCTGTGTGTATTTGAGACTGTTGTCTAAACTTTGTGAACATTTTATCCTGCCTCTATACAGTGGAGCAGAAAAAGGATTTGTATAGAAACATTCAAATGCAATTCAATAGCTAAAGGAACTCAAACAGAACTGCCAGAGTGATTAATTTTTCTGTCAATCAATGAAATTCTAGTGGGTTATTAGGGATTTTTCATCAAAATTATTTTACCTTCATACTGTGATTATTGCACTTACCTTTAATGAATTGAGAGACTGAAGACCTAAAAAATACTATATATTACATGATCTCTGTGAAAAGTATGAAAATTTAGATGATATCTTTATTTCTGCTAGCTCTTAAGGCTTTGGTGAACAGCATTGATAAGATGCATGTGTTAAACTACTACCCCACATTAATTTTATTTGTTTGTAAAATTGCTGTTTTATTTGTTACTGTATTGTGGGGATACAGACAGGAAGGCTTCACATAACTTTTAAGTGTCTCTCTGTTGCTCTGAAAAACATGGGGAAGTATTAATTTTATTCGTTTCCCTCAAAGTGGAGGACAAACAACAGTATTGGAAATATGTACTCTGAGGAGGATCAAATTAAGCTTTTACTTGTGAGCCAAATAAATGGAAATGTATCAAGACTTAAAATCATTTACTGATTAAAATAAAAAAAAAAGGCTTTTGGAAGTGCTGTTACACAGCCAAGTTAACATGTTTGTTTTTACTTTGTAACTATAGTACATTTACTCCTAAAATGCAAGGCAGACGGATGGGGACTTCAGGGAGAATCACTAAGAGCACAAGTGTGAGCGGAGAGATGTATAAGCTGGAGCACATTGACGGGAGCCAGTCGGACACGGCTGTCGGCATGGTTGGAACAGGTGGGAAGAAAAGGCGTTCCAGCTTTAGTGCCAAAGTGGTTGCCATAGTGTCTCGAAGGAGCAGAAGCACATCTCAGCTTAGTCAAACAGGTGAGTGAGACACACGCTCTTGGGAAACAGGACTCTCACCAAACATGGTTTACCATAATTTCATCTGTGGCATCCGTGTTATATGTATATGCATATAGACTGCTTGAGAGAGATTTTCCAGCTGTAAATAAATTTCTGAGATATTAATTTTCTTTTATTATTAAACATCTGCAAGAAACAATATGCAAATGTCTTTTAGAATATGTGCTGTAGTTACTTTCTGTCCTGATCAGTGAAAACTGTTGTCTCTTAGAAGCCTTGTTTACAGTTAGGCCAAGAAATGGAATGAGACATGTGTCAGTATCAGCATTGGATAACCATTTGCCAAGGCCTGCTTTTTATGTGTAGGAAATTTCTTTTACAAGAAGAGTTGAGTATGAATGTGGGAACTGAAATATGAGCAAATGAATGGCAGTTATGCAACTCGCATCACAAGGTTGTACCTGTAGTGGAATAAAATACGTTTTTTAAAATTACTTCTGTTTTTTAAGTTGAGAGTTAATCCAATATTTTATTTTTTTGTAAGTAATACTGGCAAGTTTGGGTCAGTGATTTCAGATAAATTAGATGACAACACGATGCTTCATTAGGAGCATAAGCCTCCAACTCTTTATTGTGACTCTAGAAATCTTAAAAGCTTCATATCAGCATACCCTCCAGGAACAAATCCCATACAGAAAGATAAAAAAAGGGAAGAAGAATGTTTTAAAGTCCTTGTCCTGCTCCTGAACCCCAGTGAAGGCTTTTGCCTTTGTCTTCAGTGGGAGCAGGACCTGACCCTAAGGGTCCTTTCTTACTAAGAGAAGGAAAACAAAGAGGAAAAGCTTCAGCCTAGCATGCAATGCACTCATATTTCAGCATTCCTCTCACATAGAGTATCTAAACTATGGTAAGTAACAATATTGTTTATTTATATCATCAAATACTTCCCCCCTTTCCCCTGGTTTTCTTTGATTGCCAGATGGGCAGTAGAATTGATCCTTTCACGGTTAAGGCTTGGTCAGCTATAACAAAAAGATTTATACTTTTCTACATTACTCATGAATTTTAAGCCAGAAAATCATGCAGTTGAACCAAATGCTAAATGAAACTGATGGATTTGAAGCTCAGAACTGTAATTAATATTGTGTTGTTCAAGAATGCACTGTGACTAAATATAAGACTGGAATATAGATAGTTGTACACAGTAAGATGCTGGTTTAGATGTATCAGAATCAATGGTGTGCTCTGTAAGTAATAAAAAGTGGTATTGTCATGTAGAAGGGATTTCTACACTGATATTTTAGTCCACTTAAAATCTAAGCTGTGATTCCCAAGCACTTCTCAGTATCGTCTATTTAAAGCTCATATTTTCCTAATCTTCATAGAAAGGTACTATAGCTCGCCAAGTTTTGATTCGTTTAAATTTCAAAACAATAGGAATTTTGCAAGGAATCGAAGTTCTAAAGTTTTAATGTAACTCAAAGAGTAAATCAGATATGAAAAAAATTATTATGTATTATTCATGATTGTAAAACAGTTCAGAATCATCTTTACCTTGTCTTGTTGTGACTCAGGCTAACAATATTATCTATGGTATAATCAGAGCAAATAATAATGTGTCATTTTTTGCCAGTCACTACTTTTGAATTTTGTCAAAAATCAGTAAATTAAATTAATGCATTTTTTTAACAATATATGCATCAGACTTTACAGAGTTGCCAAATGACATTGTTGGAGGCTAAGTGCTCATGTCCTAAATCAGAGACCCACTTCCCTTCCTCCCTATATTATACAAGATGAGAGGAGAAACCTAAAAGTGTCTATTTCATTTTAAAGTGTTGTGCAACTTACTAATGTCTCCACTATTGATAAATATAGAAAATTTCTGCTATGACAATATAATATATACTGGGTACTTTTTTAAAATTTATTATGTGAGAATTGTTTCTAATAGTCAAGGTCTGAAGTTTTGGAACTAATGTGAAAATTTATGGGCCTCCAAAAATGGTACCAAGTAGGAGCTTCTGGGACAGATCTTCAGGAACTGGAGGTGTGCTGTTGATGCAATATATGTATTTCAAAGGAAGTATAAAAATATAGAAATAAATGTGTAGCTTCCATAGGTTGTTCAGGTTTAATTCCTACGTCTTGCATGATTATAAGTAAGGGAAGCATGACATGGTTATTTGTTTTTGAAAACTCAAAATAGAAGATCGGAAGTAAAAAGGCAGATTTCTTTTAAAAGCATAGGTTCTATATTCTTATGTATTGAGTATATCTGAAATTCTAGTTTACTGCTGTCTTCAAAGTCACTAAAGTTTATTACCGCCTCACTTTTTTCACTTGAAGAAATTCGACTTTTTGTAGATATCTCTTTTTGTAGATAATTCTTCCTTGTAACATACTGCATGGGCTTTACGTTATATAAAAATGGAAGTGGTATGTATGGAACTGCTGCAAGGTAGCTGTTATTTATGACTTGATTTTCTATTCAGCTGAAAAAGGCATTAGTGTACATGAACATGAGGAGTTTGTGTACTGTGCATACATGTTCGTGTCTATACATACATACATGGATTTCTTTGTACATATGAAGCAAGTCCACTTGCATGTTGAAGTTAGAAGGACCAGTAATTATTTTACACACCCAGCTCAGTGTTGTTGGAAAATATTTATTCGGAATATATGCCTTATAGATGATCAGTGAAATAATTGGTTTCTATATTTATGTAAATCTGCAATGAAATTATGTATTTTTGCTGCACCTTTCTTTTATGTTTAAGATTACATGATACTTGTAGTAACTGTTCTGTGACATCCCTACTTACTGTGTATTTGTTCATTGTGCCCACAAATCAGATTGATTAGATAGCTCACCAGAAAAAGCTTTTCATCTTCTGACAATATTCCTAATGAAAATCCAGCTCTTCTTATGTTATCACAGTTAAAAAGAAGAAAATAAAGAGAAAAAAATAAGCAAAACTCCCAAAATGACAACAGAAAATTGAAAATAGCTCCAGGCATCTATAACCATTTTAGCTATAATTCAACATTTCTAAATTTCTTTGCCAGCCTTATTTTGATAAATAAATATATAATTATATACAGAATAAATATGTAACTTCCCATTTTATGAATACAGCAACTAAACTTTAAATCAAAGAAAAATTATAGGAAGCTAGATTAGGATAAGAAGTCATCATCAGTTGTCTTGATTTTGTGTTACAATATTATTCCTTTCTACAGAAAATCTAATCTTGTAGTTTACATATCAATGAGGCCAGTATTGATTATAGTACATTTTGATTTGGGGCTGTAGGTTTGTTTTGAATGAGATAAAAACTTCTGTAACAGAAGGGAAGAATTTTATTCACAGAATTTGTACCATATATAGAGACATAATAATGCATTTCAAAGTGGATAGAGGCAATAGGGTGGGGGGGGATATCATCAGTAAAATGAGTTCTGGAGAGAAGGAAAACCTTAATCTCAGCTAAAAAGTATTCCCATCCCTGGATCCCTTTCAGTTCTTCTGGTACTTGCAGATATGTGCCTTAAGAAAGCAAAAGAATTCCTCAGTTTTGCTTTCTACCTCCTGGTCAGCAGATAGTGCTTCAGAAAAATCATGTATTTGTAGAAGTACACTTTTCTTCTCTTTAAGTACTAACAGTGGCTTCCAACTATTTTGACACAGATGAGAGTGGAAGAGATGCAGAGGAGAGCTAAGAAGCTTAGAAGAATGGGCAGCATTTCTAGTTTGACATTACACTGATACCAGGTCAATTTTCTAAATGAACATGCCTTGCCATGTTTATGGTGTGAATCACAGTGATATTTTCCTATGTAAGAACCAAAGATATTTGCTTTCCATCTTCTGTTGGTGAAGTTCAACATCAACATGAAGCCACAGGCATTAATGCTGCAGAGACAGATTACATACCATGAAGCAGAGCTGGAATCGAGTGTTGTCACAAGGTGAAAACAGAATGAAGAAAAAATCTCTTCATTTATGTGTGTCTCTGAAGTGGATACTTGGAGGGAATCTTTAAGTGTTTGTCTGCTTCCCTCAGGAAGTAACTTGAAACCTGAGCAAAAACACTATCTTAGAACATACTTCCCTATGTAAAAACTAGAATCTCCTGCTAAAGTATATTTTCTGTCATTTTCTGTAATTTGCCCTATAAAGAAGTGGCTTTCTCTGTGTTCTTTTGAATTAAACACCAAATTCCCAATTTCAGATAAGATTGCATCATCTAAGTGAGGAAATTGTCACTGAGCAGTAAAGTTCTGATAGTCGTGCATCCCACAGTATATCTATGCTCTTTTTTTGAGCTCACTGCAGCTTAAAGAGCTCATCTTCTTCCAGCTGATTGCCCCACATTTCACCTTCCATCACTGGTCTCAAGGTGTTTTTCTCTCATGGTTGGATGACTGAAGTTAAGATAAAGATTTAGAAAATAAAATCTTGTCCATTACTCTGTTGATGGAGAATATGATGATTCACTGGAGCTACTTAGTGACTGATAACAAGCAGACAGTGTTGTGCAAAAAAAACCCTTGCTTGGGAAACATGGACATTTAAGCAAAGCAATGCTTAAATTGAGCCTTTCAGGTTCAGAGCTACCTCATTTCAGAGTAGACACTGACATTAAAAAAAAAAACAAAAACCAAACCAAACCCAAACAAGCTAAACAAAACCAAGATCAAAACCAAACACAAACAAACCATCAAAACCCAAAACCACACTCACTCCCCCAGTCTGTTAATCGGTTCTTAATTTTCTGTCTTTTTTTGTTTGGAAATGCTGGTTGAATTATTTTTCTATCCATCCTTGTAGTAAAATGAGAGATTTCTCATAGGTCTAGATAGTATGCACATAAAAAGCAGATAAAAAATGAGAAATAAAATGTGCTGAGCAAGGCCTTTGGGATAAGGATGGTTTGTTTGTTGTCTTTCTTGAGAACACCATTGCTTCTTTGCATGATTCTGTTTCTTTTTTACGAGGGTTGTGGCAAGCT